CCCCAAGACCTTGAACTCTAAACCCTAAGCCCTAAACCCTAAACCCTAAACCCCAAGACCTTGAACTCTAAACCCTAAACCCTAAACCTTAAACCCTAAACCCTAAACTCTGAACCCTAAACCCCAAGACCTTGAACTCTAAATCCTAAACCCTAAACCCTAAACCCCAAGACCTTGAACTCTAAACCCTAAACCTTAAACCCTAAACCCCTAAACCCTAAACCCTAAACCCCAAGACCTTGAACTCTAAACATGTTTCGAAGCACGTAGAGGCGCTCCAGGGAGCATTGGTCCACGTGCAGACCGAGCTGCAGAAGGAGGCGTGGTAGGGCTTAGGGTTTAGGGTTTAGGGGTTTAGGGTTTAGGGTTTAGGGTTTAGGCCTTCAAAAGAACGAGAAGGGGTTCGAACTAAGTGGTTTTAAGAGATTTTGATTGTAAACTGTAGGTCGGTTCATGAACGTCACTCGTCTTCGGAACTGTGCTTGGAGGTTCATGGGCAGTTATAAGTAGGGTTATAAGTAGGGTAACTATAATTATAACCCCTATTAGGGGACTTATAACCCCACTTATAACTACCCATGAACCTCCAAGCAAGGGTTTTCAAGGATTTGCTTGCTGCTTCGTTGGAGTCGTAAGTGGCGCTGAGCCAAGATAGACCACGGCCTTCGCCTCCCTTCCTCTTCCGCCGTAGCCACGACAATTCTCCTGCTCTTGGTGCCCTAAACCCTAAACCCTAAACCCTGAGCCTTGTCTTCTAAGGTCCTAAGTCCTAAACATGGAGATTGTCATGATGAGTTCTGCTACTCACGGAAACCTGGATTAAAACAGGGGTTGTGGGCAAGTACGCGGGTTTCATGCGGATCTTCATAGCTGCTCCATAGGGTCGTATGCGGTTTTGTATACGGGTTGATTATGGGCGGACGGTCGCAGGGCGTTTGCATGTATATAGATAGATAGATAGGTAGGTAGATAGATAGATAGATAGATAGAGATAGATAGATAGATAGATAGACAGATAAATGCATATGTTGTATATATATATATATATTATTACATCTGTATCTGTATCTGTATCTGTATCTGTATCTGTATCTGTATCTGTATCTGTATCTGTATGTATGTATGTATGTATGCATGCATGCATGTATGTATGTATATGTGCATGTATACGTGCATGCATATGTGCATGTATATGTATGTCTTTATGCATATGCATAGGTGATCATAGGTGTATGTATATGTATATGTGCACGTGTATGTATGCGTATATGCATATGCCCATGTATATGTATATGTATATGTATATGTATATGTATATGTATATGTATGTATAAATGTATGAAGGTAGAATGTATGTATGCATGCACATGTACATGTGTGTATATACACACACACACACACGTTGATTGATTAGGGGTTTGTGTGCGGGTCTCCCTCATTTATTCTTTTGGCCGATGGCCGCGCCGCATTTTCTCTGCAACTCCCTTGTACCAACATGAGTAGCATGAACATCGGAGATATCTGATTGGACACTGAAGGTGGTGATCCCAGACCACATCCTCCGTGAGATTGACGCAAAGTCTGAAGCTAGACAGGCTCAGCGACTCAGTGATTCAGTTTGTTTGGGGGGTGGGCCGTCCTTGTAAAACCGAAGGCCGCTAATCGAACTTCAGGCGCGCTTTCCCATTGCAAGCCTCGAAATCAGTTGTAATTATGAAGCTCTGTTTGATGAGAGGAAGCCATGTGGGCTGAGCTGCACAAGCACGCGGAGGCCCACGCTCCACACCGACTCGTTGCTGACTCAAGCAGAAGCCTAAACCCTAAACCCTAAACCCTAAACCCTCAAGACCCAA